CAATTATAAAATGATATCTTCAGAAATTCATTAAATAAAAAAAAAAATAACATTGGAATATGAAAAACACAACATATAAAATAATAAAAACAATTGAAAACAGATATAAAATGATGAACAATGAAATATCTAGTATAGTAAATATAAATATGATATAATAACTAAATACCTAAAAGACTAAACACAGAAGAAATTGTGTCATAAAAATATGATTTTAAAAACTACATAAATATCACAACTATTATAAAAGAGATAAATATTAAAATATTAAAAAAATATACAATTTTTTCTAAAATATAAATATGATATAACTATAATAGATGAAATATAATACTCTTTCATTATACATTGCTAAAAATACACAAAATGCACTTATATTTTCATTCTTCAAAATAAAAATACGAAAATTTTTCATTTTTCAATCACACTATTTTACACTTCAAAAATATAAATTAAACAATTTCTAAATATCAATCACTTCAAGAACTCTATACAATTCTTATATAATACTAATTCGATCTCGATCTTTTCCGAATATTCTCGAGATTTTGCAATATCTCATTACATTGAACTTGATCGTATGAGTTTAATATTTGCTCGGTCAACAAATCCATCGAAGAAAAACACACGTGACGTCTAAGTGATCATCGAGATGGGGAAATCGATGTGATAAGCTTTCTTTATTATCTACAACAGGTCCACACCAGCGGCCGACTAGTTCGCAATTAAGTTCAAGGGCGAATTCCATCATCAAGAATTTACTCTAACTTTTCAGAAAACATGTGCACACAGCCGCTGTATACACGACCCTCCACGGCAGTGAGTTACGAGGGGGATGAAAAGTAGGGCGAGCCATCGTAAAAGAAGTGGCGGCCAAGTTGCATTTCACCTGCTATCTGCCAGCGTTAAGGCTCACTACTGCAATTTCGTATATTTATTGGAAACTCCTCTCCTTTACTCAGTCGCTCGAACGAGTCGAGGGAAACGTATGTGCCGCAACGCTTTTTTCATCCTCTCACGTTCCGAATTTCCATTTCTTCTCGTCGATGTGATCACTCGATAGATTGGATTTTTTAATTAGTATTTAAATTTATGGATAGCGTGCGAGATCTACGAAAGAAAGAATGAAACAATAACAGGGAATAGGTAACGTGAGTTTATTTATCGTTTGAGAGGATTGGTTAGGATATTATGAGAAGCACGTTCGTCACAGAATTTCGCGCGAATCGAAGCTCTTGTTTTATCGAATGAGAGTGAATTTATCACTGACTATATTATTTATAAACATAAAATGACATAAAATAGGTTGTAATAATTTGTTATATCGTATTTGAAATATAATATAAAGTTTCAGGGCGATCTAGATTTTCAAATATTTTATTATCGAGCTCGTTTCATGCGTTACTATTTTTATTGCATTTCATCGAGATAGAAAATTTTTGTGATTTCGAAAATTTAAATAAAAAAAAAAGTTGGACATAAAATAAAATATTGAATATTGATTTAAATTGATATTAAATAACTGAAGAACTTTTTAAAATTATGTTCTTCTATTCTTTTCCTATATATTTGGATTTTTTCAATTTTACGGATGACAAATAAAAATTTTATATTTTTTTATTGAATATTTTATTCTTAAGATTAACAAAGAATATTTAAGAATATTTGAGACATATAATCTTTTTTTTTATGAAATGAAAATATAAAAAATCATAAAAATTCCTAAATAAAGTTAAAAAAAAAATTTTTGACTACATCTCTGCTTGCAAAAATAAATCATACGATGTTTTGCTTATTATTGTTTATATAGTTACATAACTTAATAAACAAATAAATAAACAAAAATCATTCTTTAAATTTTCATTTAACAATATCCATAAAAAATAAAGAGATTATATATTATACAAAATAAAATACAAAGACAAACTATTCCATGAATTTTGAACTTTTACTTTTGTAGCATATATAAAGTCTATACATACATATAACTTTAATATAAAGTACTAAAAAAGCAATAAAAAAAAGTTTGTATTTTAAGAGAATGAAAAAATTAAAAAAAAATTTAAAAAAGTTATTTTTTCATGATTTTATTTTATAGAAATTTCGTAATTTTGTATGATTTATTGAGTTTAAAATAATGTTTGATGATCAAACTTTTTATTTTATATTTTTCTAAATGAAGGAAACATACTATAAAGCATGTTAATGATGTCACGTTTATGTAATAATTTTATCATTATTATTGATATCTTTATCAATATTTTTTGTATAAAACTGATAGATAATATCTCGTCATTAGTTAGTTTCTATTTATAAACTTTTAAAAATACATAATTATTATTTTTATTTTATGTCATTTTATGTAATTTAAAATTAATTTCGTGATAATATAATGTCTAAGTCATTAGATGTCCTAAAATATATTTAAATATTCATATAAATAATCAACTGTTATAATTATGTGAAAATGATAAAAAATAAATATAATAATAAATAAAATAATAATAATATCTTGCATATATCTTGCATATATGACTATAAATAAAAAAGAAATTTGTATTTGCATTAAAAGGATGGGTTACATTGCTAAATAATCTATGAAAACTTGAAATAAAACTTGTATGGATTGCACGTAGATCAGTTTTCTTATTCAACACGCATCTTTTTCTTGCTTTTGCATTGTTACTTACCCATTCGCCCCTAGTCAACAAATATACGTCATCGTTCGTACACGCGGTGCATGCTTACGCGCGCGCAACCAACCCCGGATTCAATACGTGCACGCATAACCTAAGCTATACACACGCTACGCATATCAAATAGCACGCATACAAGCATTCACGTATCGTTTAACTGTCAAAGTACTATATTCCTCTCACCGTTGTACAGTATCTTACATCCCTTTCACCCCTCCTTTCAAGCTGATTCGCATTTTGACACTTGCCCCCTCCCTTTCATTCAGTATGACTCACACCCGTATAACGCAGCTGTCTTATTCTTTCTCACGGATTCGTTACTCACTTGCCGATAATCTCGCAGAGCTCGTAAACCTCGTCGAAGAGAACCTCGTCGTCCGCCATAATAGCGACGAGGAGGTCGAAGAAGTCGACCGAACGAGGATGATATACGCGCCAAAAGGCGCGTCAAAGCTATGCGAATTCGTAATAATTCGTAAGGTGTGCAGATATACGTCTTTCTCCTCTCGTAGCCTAAGCCGACGGAGCTGTTGTGTTTCGTGTCGTGCCGTGTGGAATACGCGGCGGCGTGAACGTAGCCGCGTATCGTGGATTCACGGCCGCCTTCGTTCTCCCACCCTCTTCACTCCTTCTATCTCTCTCTTCCACCGATAGCAACGTATTCGTTTTCCTCTACGCGCACGTTACGCACATACACACATATATATGTACACAGCCATGGATAATACACCCGTGTAGCACGCCCGATTATCGTTGCACTGGCACTCCGATCAGTACACGCGAGTCTGCAACCGTATAGCTGAGTTATATTATTAAACTGTATGTAATATTTTCCACGATGGCAAAGATGCTCAAGACACAATCGACACCGCCTTTAAGCCTTACTTTACTATCGCCGGCAAAGACAGCATACACAACTAACGACAATACGTAATACAGACGATTACACGGTCGTATCCTGACTCAAGCACGAAGAAAACCGGATCTGGCCGAATCGGTTGCTTCTACGGAGCAGTCGGTCGTACAATTAACAAGACCGATCAGTGAGAAGCGGCCAGACAGACACTGATGTCACTACACACACTTTCCTCGTCTGTCAAAGGCTGGAGCAGTAGTTTCACTCGCTCCGAAGCAAGACTGGTTGCATAAAACGCGGCGAGCGACTGCGCCAACTGACTATCTCCCCTCTAATTCCACCAATTCTGCTCCATATGGCGGGGCGGGCGTGGCGCCGCTTCGCGTGCAACCTTTAGTGCATTAATACATTCAGTCTTTTGCTTGTTCCTTTCCGCAAAATTATTTGCCAATCGTATGAGAACGCTACAGTAGAACATATCTACAATACTCGATGATATTCAAATTGTACATATAAGATACTATATTCATGAAGTTTGCAAGCTCTTATGATAAATAATATAAGTTATCAACGGAATAATTTCGTTACAAATTAAATATATATTATTGAATTTGTAACGAAATTTAAATACCAATAACAGAATTTACAATAAAATACAAAAAAACAGAATTTAAAATATACAATTACAATATATAGAAAAATACATTTACATAAACTATATGAATAAGCATAATCTACTAAGAATAGACGTGATAAATTATGAAATTTCGTCATGCACAATCTGAAATATCGACTTCAAAAAAAGAAAAGACACATAAATCACAGATTAGATACAAGAAAAATTCTTCTACCTATGCTTCCTTTCTCATATTCTAAAATACCGACTTCAAATATCGATAAAACAGTGTCCGTGACAATATTTTATAAAAAAAACAAAATACAAGATACATAAAAAAATTATAGACCAAAAACAAACTATATTTAACATATCAAAAAACGAAAAATAAAAAAAAATATATGCACAATCTTAAAAATACTAAAAATTCGGAAATGAAATTTTATGCAAGATACAACTCAATAATAAGCTATAACGATAACATACTATATGAATAAAATGAATCTAATAAAAACTGGTCATAATTTAAAAAATACACTTCAATTTAAAAAAAATTCCTATTATTAATTTAATTACTATATATGAATTAATCATTAATATCAAGTTTGCAAATCATTCAATCACTAATCATTTTAGAAACCAAGAAATAAAAAAAGTTTTAAAAAAAACTTACGCTAAACTTGTAAAATAAAAATTAAATTGTACAAAGAAGTAAATAAAAGAATC